GAAGGCAGTTCGTTAACCAAAATTTCGTTAACCGAGGTGTTCGTTAAACGAGGGGTCACTGTATTTAATATCTTATATCATCAATGATAAAGCATGTGTGTTGGTGGTGTTGTAGGGTGTGTGTTGGTGGTGTTGGAGGGTGTGTGTTGGAGGGTGTGTGTTGGAGGGTGTGTGTGTTGGAGGTATTGGAGGGTGTGTGTGTGTTGGTGGTGCTGGAGGGTGTGTGTGTTGGAGTGTGGAGGTATTGGATGTAGTGTTGGTGGGTGTGTGTTGGTGGTGTTGGAGGTTGTGTGTTGGTGGTGTTGGAGGGTGTGTGTGTGTTGGTGGTGTTGGAGTGTTGTGAGTGGTGTGTGTGTTGGTGGTGTTGGAGGGTGTGTGTGTGTGTTGTGGTGTTAGGGTGTGTGTTGGTGATGTTGAGGTGGTGAGGTGTGTGTTGGTAGTGTGTGTGTTGGTGGCGTGTGTGTTGGAGGGTGTGTGTGTTGGTGGCGTGTGTTGGAGGTGTGGTGGGTTGGGTGTGTGTGTTGGTGGTGTTGGAGGGTGTGTGTTGGTGGTGTTGGAGGGTGAGTGTGTTGGTGGTATTGGAGGGTGTGTGTGTTGGTGGTATTGGAGGGTGTGTGTGTGTGTGTTGATTGATTTTGCCGCTTCCAGCGGCTACTTTATTGTGCACCCCACACTCATCCTGTGAGCGGTAGCGCAAAAGGATTACAGAGTAGGGTTTACAAAGGGTCATTATAATTAACCCCCGTTGTCAGGATATTATGGCACTGAAAGTTACACAGTATTTCATTTACATTATTTGTTTAGTTCTATACATAAAGGGTAACTTATTCACAAATGCGTGAGAACAGGCGTGTGAGGCAGTATGTCTGGCCTCACACTTTGTTATTCACATTTACGTGGGAGGTATTCAAGCACATTGCGTATTTGGTTCTGTACATGAGAATTGATAGTTACTAAGTGCAAAAAAGTGGATACAATCTTAATATGTCGGCTATCTTTCCATTAGAGATGAAGTGTTGTGCCATTTCACACACAGTGTGCTTGGACCTGTCCCTAAAAGGTTCTATCTTCACACAGTCGAGGACGTAGTGTTCAAGTGTGTGGCCATATGTATGGCCACACACTTTACATTTAGTTTTGTTTACATCTGCTTGAGGAACATACTGTCAAAGGTACTTATATCCTAACCTTAATCTAGCGGTTACATCATCTTGTAATCTAGTGATCTTGTTACTTGCTCCATATACATGTTTCACTTGATACATCTCATCATGGTAACCTATGGATCGACTAGTGCCTGTTTGCACTTGTCTACTTGCGTCAAACTCATCAATAAGTTCTCTCCTAATTACAGTTTTAAGGGTTCTTTTTGACAGACCCAAATTGTATTCAACGGTGTCTTTGTTAGACGCGAGTTTGGCGAGGGCATCAACTCTGTCATGTTTTATGAGGCCTATGTGAGAGGGGATCCACAACAGTTTGACCCTGACACCCCGGTCAACAAGGCACGCATATTTGTGTCTGGCTTCAGAGACAAGAGCGTGACAACCTGAGTCGAGGGTACCAAGGGCAAGTAGTGAGGATAGAGAGTCAGTGATGATGAGACTGTCAGTAACAGTGGTTTCAATGAATTTAATAGCTGAGTATGGCAACTAATTCAGTTTGTAGAGTGGATGCCCAGTTGTTAATTCTAACTCCTTTCTCAATTATATTACTGTCAGGTTGAGTCACAACAATAGCACTTCCAGCCCTCCCACAGGCGGTGTTTAGAGATCCATCAGTGTAGATGGTCTGTGTGATATTATCATCAGTCTGTAGAGTGTGTATGTGTTCAAGAGCTCTCAATTTGGCAGTGTGTTGGAGATAAATGCTTTGTATAATTAATTTTTTAGGCGGATACGTCGGTATTGTGATATCGAAGGGAACTGTCCGCCAGGGTGGCAGGAAGCGCTGTTGTGTCTCAACTTTGTACAGGTGGTCTAGTCCAAACATCTTCATATGTGTAGCTGTAGTTTGGATCCATTTAGACTCAGTAGTCCCATGGTTCATACATTCTAGCAATTTTAAGGAAACAATGTTATCAGGATCACCACGCAGAAGCCTCAGGGCTATCATGAGGTTGACTTCAATTATTCTATCTTTAACACTGGGTATACCTAGTTCTTTCCTCATATTAAGTACTTTAGTGCTCATGGGACATCCTAGGATAATTCTGAGGGCTTTATTTTGCATTTTCTCGAGCTTGTCAACGCCTTTCCCGTCACGAATGACCAGGGCTGGTGCGTGGTAATCTATCAGAGATCTTATATAGCCTAGGTACATTGTTTTAACAATTCTAATATTAGCACCATAGTGCGGGCTGTACCCCGCTACACTTCTAAGAGGTCTCAGTCTGTCAGTACATTGGCGGGTTAGCTGTTGTATGGCAGGTAGGGTACAAGGGACGGAAACACCAAGATATTTAAAAGAAGAAACATAGTCAATAGTGTTGTTACCTATCTTGAACTTGGCGGGGCCGCGTTTGCGGTTACCAGCTTGTTTGTTGAACACCTTAGTTTTGTCAGTGGAGATAATAAGACCGAGGTGTTCACAGGCTGCGTATACATGGTTCAGGGTGGTTTGCATTTCACGATGAGTTTTAGTATGTATAAGAATATCATCAGCATAGCTGATTGAGATATTGCTGGGGTTGTCTGGTATTAAATTTAATAATGCATTCATAAGAACATTGAACAAAGTGGGGCTAAGTACTCCACCTTGAGGGGTACCAAGTTGCATATCTTTAACTTCACTTTTGTAACCCTGAAACAGTGCAGCAGCCCTTCTGTTGGTTAGGTAACCACTTATCCAGTGTAACAGCCTACCTCCTATATCCATTTTGGCTAGTTCGTACAATATCAGTTGCCTATTGGCAATATCAAATGCAGCTTTTAGGTCAAGAAATGTGGTGTATCTGTGCCTTTCATCACCATGCACAGTTAGGAATGTGGTGATGCAATTATGTACACCTTTACCATGGGTGAAGCCATTTATGTTAGGAGACATGTGTTCTCTGATTCTATATAAGAGTCTGCCAAGAACCATCCTCTCAAAGGTTTTACACAGGCAGCTGGTTAGTGATATGGGACGAAAGGCATCAGGCTGTCCTGGTTTCGGTATTGGTACAACAATACTGCTGGTCCATGATGTGGGTAGTTGGCCCTCGGCATGACTCATATTGTACAATACCAACAATGGATTGCCTGGCACGCGCCTTAGTAGTCTAATGATGTTGTAGGTGACTCCGTCCTCTCCAGGGGAAGTAGACCTACCCCTGGCGAGGGCGGCGTCAAGCTCCCACTCAGTATATGGAACATCACACTCATCGTGCTGTTTGCCCAGCATAAAGCTAATAAGTTTACTTCTCTCTACAGACTTCGCATCAAGGAGTCCCCGAGTCCTAGCTGGTAACATGTCATAGCTCGACACATGAGCCCACTTTGTTATTAGCTCATTCGACTTTTGCAGAGGGTTTGGATGGGAGACGTGTCTTCTGTTTTTACCTCTGATTATGTTTATGTCTTTCCAGGCTTTGCTGAGGGATGTGTGTTGGTTCAGACTGTTGACATATGTGTTGGAGGTATTGGAGGGTGTGTGTCTTGGAGGTATTGGAGGGTGTGTGTGTTGGTGGTATTGGAGGGTGTGTGTGTTGGTGGTATTGGAGGGTGTGTGTGTTGGTGGTGTTGGAGGGTGTGTGTTGGTGGTGTTGGAGGGTGTGTGTTGGTGGTGTTGGAGGGTGTGTGTTGGTGGTGTTGGAGGGTGTGTGTTGGTGATGTTGGAGGGGGTGTGTGTGTGTTGGTGGTATTGGAGTGTGTGTGTTGGTGATGTTGGAGGGTGTGTGTGTGATGTTGGAGGGTGGGTGTGTTGGGGGGTGTGTGTATGTGATGTTGGGGTGTGTTCCTGACACACACACACACAGAGGAATTAAGACAACATGCATCCAGTGAGGGTCTTGTTGTGTTACTGCCTGGTGGCAAGATAAACACCAGCTGTTGAGGAGAGCTTGGCAACATGGTGCCACTCTATCTTTCTAATCACTCACACCTTTCTGCTTTCTCACTCCATATTTTAAAATATTATGTAATGTATTGTTAAAGAGATACAACTTCGCTCATTTATGCTTATCACAATCTCCTTAAAAATACTTAAGGTTTCGTCTTTAATTTTTATTCAGACATCTTCAGGTCATGAGACCCACTAATCCCCCACCAAAGAAAGGGTGACCTGACATTCCATCAGGTCAGAAATATGAGACAACTAATCCCCCACCTAACACTGCATTAAGTCAGGTCAGGTCCCCCAAAAAATACTTTAGCTTTCGTGCTTATTCAAGACATCTTCAGGTCATGAGACCCACTAATCCCCCAACCAAGAAAAGGTGACCTGACATTCCATCCCTGTAAAATCAGTTGCCTATGAAGATGTCTTGAATAAAGACAAAGACTAAGGTGCTCCAGTGTACTTAGCTGACCGAGAGGTAGCAGTGAACCACACATGTGGTGGTGGCAAAACACAGACTAGCAGATGTAAACAAACCCGATGCACCAAGCAACTATTTAGTGAAATAGTTCAGCAAATTGAACGAACATAACGGAAAGCTCAGTTTAGCAGAAATTTTGATCTAACAACCAGGGATGGCTCAAATTAGTTCATTAAATCAAGAAAATACTGTATTTAGTTTGAATAATGGACAGCTACACCAACATTTTCTTTAAATCTATCAGCTATTTTTATAGAAGAGGGGTGTGGCTTAGGGGCCAAGTTAGCGTGGAAATACTATAGTTCATTATATCGGGGGTTTACTGGCTACGGAAACATGAATCCTGTGGAACATTAAATTGTGTACAATATAAAAAATGTGGACACTCAAAACCGATGATGACAATCCTGTGGTTGGTGAGGGATTAATAAACACCATTAGTAGGCTCCTTCATACAAAAAAGAAGATAATGTTAACTCACTTCTTATACCTGCAGCAAAATTATTTGTAAGTTCCTCCTGACTGCTATGGCATGATACTTGTGATAGGTATTGTGTCCATGTCTGATTTGTAGAAGACACAACTGCACCATATGACTGTCCTCTTGTAGCTTTATCATGGTAAGTATCATATCCAATAACCATAGCATTCTGAAAAAAAATTACATCATTTTTTATTTATAACACTTCAGGTCTACACGAAATGACCTAAACAAAACTTGAGGAACATTTCATGAAGCATTGTTCATAAGATACAATGTAATACATGTACACCACCGATTATCCGGGAACTGATGGTCCGGCACCTCCTTTAGTCCAGACAAAATTATGAGGGGGCACTAACTTCCCTCCCTCGCAACCTGGGTGAAGGTAGTTTTAGGCTTTGTTTTTTTTATCTCTTAAATGTAGCTGACTAAACTTAGCAGAATATAAATTGCATTGCTGGAATCCTTGTAAGAGTGATTAATTCGAGTATAAACATCACAAAATTTGCACAAGAGATGGAAATTTTAGTTTTGTGTAGTACATGTGTGTACAGTATTACCCCGCTTTACACGGTTTCACTTTCTGTGATTTCTCATTTACGTGGTACCTTGCCAGAACCGGACTTGAACCAGACTTTCACTTTCCATGGTGCATCTACTCATATACTACTCATATACGCAGTGAAGTATAATTTATTTTTTATTTTTTTTTATTTAGCTCATAAAATTCATACAAATTACCCTGCCAGAATATAATTTACATTGCTGGAATTCTTACAATATGATGATCATTTTGAATATAAACATCATGGATTTTGCATTAGACATACAAATTTTAGATCTAATGTAATAATTTGGTTTACACAAAGCAAATATTTTATCTTTTGTGCAAAATAAATGAAGTTTACATTCAAAATATTCCCTGACCTGCAAGGAATCTAGAAATGTCAATTATATTATCCTAACTTTAGTCTGGGTTATTATTTATTACTAAAAATGTAAATATACTATTTTCTCCCAATCGCTTCTCTGGTAGGGAGGGAAGGTGGGGGGTAGGAAGGGAGGGAGGGTGGAGGTGGGGTATTTTGATTGACAGATAGTGTCGTGAAGAATATTATTATTTTTTTTTATTACCTGAAGATATTTGTTTTAGCTCATAAAATTCATACAAATTACTCGGCCAGAATATAATTTACATTGCTGGAATTCTTACAATATGATGATCATTTTGAATATAAACATCATGGATTTTGCATTAAACATACAAATTTTAGATCTAATGTAATAATTTGGTTTACACAAAGCAAATATTTTATCGTTTGTGCAAAATATATGAAATTTACATTCAAAATATTCCCTGACCTGCAAGGAATCCAGAAATGTCAATTATATTATCCTAACTTTAGTCTGAGGTATTATTTATTACTAAACGTTAAAATCTAGTGGTTTCACCCAAACATTTCTCAGAGAGGTAGGAGCTAGTGAGCTGGGAAGAGGGGGGGGGGGATTTGAGTCCATTATTTGAATGGACATTAACCTGGCGACTGTATTTCTCTTAAATATTAATTGTGTGAGCATACCATCATAAAATTTAGATGTTATTTTCACTACATCATAGGTATTGTGTCGGAAAAAGTGGAGTTTGGGGGTCGGGTCAGTCTCTATTGGAATTAATCCCATATGTTCTGTTGTTCACTTTACGCGTTTCCGCGGTACCCTGTGGGTTCAATTGTTCAATTGACCGCGTAAATCGGGTACTACTGTACAAGTTTTTTAACTCATATTTTTAGGAAGATATATGTAACTTTCTTCATTTATTTTTACTCTTTTACATGCACACACCATCCTAAATATATATAGTGAAAAAGGCAAAAGAAATAATTGTCCTAAGAGTAAACCTGTAATAAGTTAATTACTAAAAATTTTATCTAGTGCAGACTGTGATATTACAGTACAGTATACAGTAGTACCCCACTTAACGCAGTCAATAAAACCCACAGGGTACCGTGTTAAGTGAAAACCGCGCTAAGTGAACAACAGAACATATGGGATTAATTCCAATAGAAACTGGCCTGACCCCCCAAACTCCACTTTTTCCGACACAATACCTATGTTCTAGTAAAAATAACATCTTAATTTTATGATGGTACATGCACACAATTAATACTCAAGAGAAATAGAGAAATACAGTCGCCAAGTTAATGTCCATTCAAATAATGGACTCAACTCCCTCCCCCTCTTCTCACACTACACTCCCTGGCTCTTCCCTCTCTGAGAAATTTTTGGGGGAAAACCACTAAATTTTAATAAATAATACCTCAAACTAAAGTTAGGATAATACAATTGACATTGCTGGATTCCTTGTAAGACCAGGAATATTTTGAATATAAATGTCATATATTTTGCACAAAAGATAACATATTTACTCATAGTAAACATTATATCTAAAATTTGTATGTGTAATGCAAAATCTATGATGTTTATATTCAAAATGATCACCAAATTGTAAGAATTCCAGCAATGTAAATTATATTCTGGCCGGGTAATTTGTATGAATTTTATGAGCTAAAACAAATATCTTTAGTTAATAAAAAAAAAATATTCTTCATGACACTATCTGTCAATCAAAGTACCCCACCTTGCCCCCCCCCCCTCTTCCAACCATGCGGTCAGTCCCAACCCTCCCCCCCACCCCCCACCAATCCTCCCTTCAAGAGATGTTGGGCGAAAAAACTAAATTTTAACATTTAGTATTAAATAATACCTCAGATTAAAGTTAGGATAATATAATTGACATTGCTGGATTCCTTGTAAGACCAGGAATATTTTGAATATAAATGTCATATATTTTGCACAAAAGATAATATATTTACTCAGAGTAAACATTACATCTAAAATTTGTATGTCTAATGCAAAATCTATGATGTTTATATACAAAATAATCATCAAATTGTAAGAATTCCAGCAATGTAAATTATATTCTGACCGGGTAATTTGTATGAATTTTATGAGCTAAAACAAATATCTTCAGTTAATAATAATAAAAAAAAAAATTCTTCACACAGTAACAGATGGTCGGTCGGTCCCCCCCCTCCCCCACACCAACCGTCCCTACCAGATGTGTGGGAAAACCAGAATATTTACCTTTTTAGTAATAAATAATACCTCAAACTAAAGGTAGGATAATATAATTGACATTGCTGGATTCCTTGTAAGCCCAGGAATATTTTGAATACAAATGTCATATATTTTGCAAAAAAAATAACATCTTTACTCAGAGTAAACATTATATCTAAAATTTGTATGTCTAATGCAAAATCTATGATGTTTATATTCAAAATGATCATCATATTGTAAGAATTCCAGCAATGTAAATTATATTCTGGCCAGGTAATTTGTATGAATTTTATGAGCTAAAACAGGCAGTCAGGCAGGGTGGCGGGTGGGGCGAATCTAAAAATAGCTCTCAAGCCGGACACTCACCGCGTATACGTGGAAAAAACCTATGTTAAGTGAAAGTTCGGCTCTGGCGAGGCACCGCGTATACGGTAAAACGCGCGAAGCGAAACCGTGTTAAGCGGGGTAATACTGTACTAAAATTAATCAATATCTTACAAAAATTACAGCAATGCAAATTATATACTGTCAAGTCAATTCAGTGACATTTTATAAGGGAAAAACTAAAACTCCTTCTAGTTTGATTACCCACTTTGTTATCTCCCCTCTCTGACAGCTGCCAACACGTCAACCCTTCCCTTCCTCACAGCCAGGGTGAAGGCAATTTATGCTTAAAGTTTTATCCTATAAACCATCGCAGACTAGACTTAGCAGAATATAAATTACATTGCTGGAATCCTTGTAATACAGTGATTAATTTGAGTATAAACATTAGGGGGCAGTGAAATTTTGCTCAAAGCTGCACTCTTCAGGCATTGTTCCTTATACATATCTAAGACTCCATGCCAAATTTGAAGCTGATATGTCGAGGTTTAGTCTGCCACATTTCCTACTGAAATTTTTAAATTTACCTACAGTACTAGCCAAACAGCCGCTGTGGCGGTGCAATGTTCTGTTCAGTGTTTATCAACTTTTTTTTCATATCTCTTATTTCATTTAAGTTGTCTTGTTGCAGATGAGTATGGTGCTATGTCTATATAATTCAGATGATTCAAGAGATATTCCTCTCGTCAATACTGATGCTGATTTTGTCCCTGATCCAAGGGCTCTGACAGACACCAATTCACAGAACCGGACAAGACTCCCTACACTGGCTGCCGCTTGTGACCGATACTTGATTAGTGATTATGCTGGAGCTGCCATTGCTACTGCCACCTTAACTGACTATGGCATTATCACAAAGGATGACAAGAGTCAGGTTATTGGACCACATAAGCTGCGGGATGCGAGACAAAAATACCGATTTAAGAGGCAAGAAATTGAAATGGCTAGTTTAGATAATTTTACGTCACTTTATTTTGATGGTAAGAAGACCGCCACTCGTGTGATGATAAAGAATGAGAAGACCGAGAAATGGAGTTCGAGGATGATGGTGAAAGATCATTATGTCATCATGGTTGAGCCTGGCAATGAATATCTCACACATGTGACTCCCAAGACTGGACACGGAAAGCAGATTGCCAAAACTATTCACGAGTTTCTGGTGGAGAAAAATCTAACCCAGCAGCCCATTGTGTGTGTTGGTTGTGATGGAACCAATGTAAATGTAGGATCAGAAAATGGAGTCATTCATCATCTTGAAATGTTACTTGGTCACCCGCTCCATTATTTCATATGTCAGCTTCACGGAAATGAGCTGCCTTTCCGCGCAGTTTTTTATCACTATGATGGTAAACCAAGTGGTCCTGAGCATTGGCGTGGTCCCATTGGAAAGCAGATCAAGGAGTCTTTGTCTGAGCTTCCAGTTGTCGCCTTCCAGCCAGTCAGTTTCCCTGATTTCCCTGTGTTTAATGATGAAGTGGAGAAAGATCTGTCCTGGGATCAGAAATACCTGTATAGGATTTGTAAAGGAGTTATCACAGGTGTTGTTGAAGATGACTTGGCTGCTATTGAGCCAGGTCCTCCCTGTGTGTCAAGGTGGAACACCTTATGGAGTAGAATCCTCAGGCTGTATGTAGCAACATCAAGACCCAGCAATGAGTTGAAAAGAATTGTCATTACAATAATAAAGTTCAGTGCTCCAATGTGGTTTTACATCAAGATACACCCTTACGTAACACACGGCTCAAGGAACGTATTCCAGTCCCTGCTATATATGAAACACCTGAATAGTGAGGAGGAGACGATAGTGAAGAAGGCTGTCCAGAGAAATGCATACTTCGCCCACACAGATCAACTTCTTCTTGGTATGTGTGCAGATGAGGACATGACTGTTAGAGAAAAAGCTGTCTCAATGATAAGAAAAATTAGAGAGGAGAATCAGCAAAAGGAAGAATGCACTGGCAGATCTGAAGAGGAGGAGGAAGATTCTGATGCTGCTGTTGACGAGAATTTGTTAAACTATACTGATGAGGAGGGTAAAGATGGAGATGGGAATGAGGATGTGCCTCCTGTAGTTAACATGAGAAAGGTGGTGACTCCGAAACTAAAGTGGCAAGCAAAAAACTATCATTCCATGATTAACTGGAGGAATGAACTCAAGACTGAGCCTCCTTACATTGCTTCTGTCAAATCTACAGGTTTATGACATTCTTGAGACACCATTAGTGGTGCCCAAGTGGCCAAACAGCACTCAGGCGGTCGAGAGAGGCATAAAAGTGATGACTGAAGCTTGCACTGAAGTGACGGGATACGAATCGAGAGATGGATATATTAAGCAAAGATTATTGTCTAGGAAAATGATGCCAAGGTTCCGCACAAAAAAGAATTTCAATATGAACTTGTAATGATTTTCTATACGGTGTACCTGTAAAATAACATGTGAATTAAATCGATGTCACCCATGTAAAATTTATCATTATCCTGGAAAACATTAAATGACACCTAATTTTTGGTATACACTAAAAGTTGACAAAAAGTCGTTCGCGATGCGGCAGGGTAAGTATGCATGAAATGGCATGAAATTTTGCACAGGTGTTTGTTACAGCCATACAAACGATGCCTGAAAAGTGCAGCCTGCAACTCAAATAAAAGTGTTTTTTCCCTGCCCCCTAATAAACGTCACCTAGTTTCATTTAAGTTTCTAGTAGTCCATGGTGCTTTAGAGATATGGGAGGTGTATAATTAGTGGGCCAGAAGTGTATTGTTGAATTGTTATTATCTGACCTCGGACCATCCGGCAAGGCTTTGGAACCAAGGGTGCCGGAAAATCGGTGGTGTACCTATATAAAACTTACTTAATATTATCAAATATCTTTTCTAACATTAATCCCAACTTATTCCCTAAAAATTTACTCGTTTAATATAAATTCCAGCATGGTCATACCAAGCTGAGAACACTGCTTCGTGTCCATTCAGCAAAGTTAAGCAACATTTGGTCTGGGTAATACTTGGATGGTAGACTGTCTGGGAACACCAAAGGCTGATGGCATTTAAACTAAAAGGACCTGACTGATGGCTTTGTAAGCTACCCTCGATCAAATTGTCTAAAAATCAATTACTATTATCAGCATTATTCGTGCAATATTTTTGTGTCAAGGTCTCAGTTTCCATATCCCAACACCTTATCTATTTAATTTTCTTGACAACCAGCTAAATCCAAGGTCCTTTCGACACAACTCTCAATGATCTTGTATTGCTAGGAGAGGCTTCAAGGCAGTATATAATATTCTGACTGTTCAGAGGAGCTGGGCATAAAGCAATGTCAACTCCAAACCCATTTTTGTTTTTCAGGGGTTACTTTTAAGTGCTACTCATGAAAAGGATTACAGCTTGACAAAAAGAGATTAAATCCTGAAATCCCATGCATGATTGACAATGTACCATGATTTACAGCATCTGCCAATCCTTCATGTCAGGGGCTGTCAAGTAATGTGCTGTTCAAATCATCTTTTCAACCAAAATTGGCATCTCTAAGCTATTTAAAGCGGACCCTCCATTTGGCTGTTCCCATTTGAAATAGGTTTAGAATAGTGGCCAAAACAGTTACCCTTACATCATCCACTGGAAAAAAGGAAGGGATGAAGGTCATTTGCTTCATGGTAGACAGCTCTTTTAATATTGGCAACTAACTAGGGATTCAAGCTTTTTGATAGGGTTCCTAAAATTGGAAGAGGTGATATATTAATATGACCCTTCAAACCTCCGTAAACAATCAGAGCCTCAAAGGAGTGAAATTTATGACTTATGAGGAGTAGGCAAGAAATCTGCTTACTGGTGTCCATGCCACCGTGCCCTAGTGTCTATTTTGACCCTAGGAAAGAAAATTTGGACAATGTGCCTTGTGGCAAATAACCTAGTGTATTTGAGTGTATTTGCGAACATAAGTTTCCTAAGGCTGAGTTGTGTATTAACACAGAGAATCCTGACTTGACATCTTAATGATCGGATAAAACTACTATATATACCTGTACAGTGACCCCTCGTTTAACGAACGCCTTGGTTAACGAAATTTCGGTTAACGAACTGCCTTCTATAAGGATCTTCAATTCGGTTAACGAACAAATATTCGGTTAACGAATTTCTTACAAACCGACCTCAACATGTTTTCGCTTGCACTGACCGGGCAACCAGCTTTAGTATCAGTCCGCCAATACATTAATCAGTTCTAGGGCTTAAATTCCATACTATTTTAGTAAATATCACTAAGTTTATACTATTCAATAATTTTGAAAGTTTAATATTAACTTTTTTAGTCATTTTAACAATTATTGAACATAAATGAAGGTAAAGAAACTAGTCTCTGGCGTGCCATCCAGCCTGTTAACACACCAGACAGGCGTTAGTCTCTCTCTGTTTTCAGTGGAGGTAACATCCTGCTTGAGACTCTCTTCAACTAAACGCTTTTTTTCTGTGTTTCCAAGCAAATTATTGGTCATTTTGAAATATATTTTACATATTGACAATATATAATGCAGTGCAGTGTTGATTTAAAGAAAATAATCTTGAAATACACCAAGAGAACTAAAATTTTATGGATGAAATGGTGCCATGGGGTGACTTCTCTTCCACCCCAATGCCTTCTCTTCTTCCTTCTCCTCCACCCCCATTCTAATTCCCATCATCATCATCATCATCCAGGAGCCTTCTACATACACACCTCAAAGTAAGTGAACTTTTCTACCATTTTTGTTGAATTTAGGAAATTTTCGGTGAGCTGGAACCAATTACCCAAAAACCCATTGAAACAATGGTTTCGGTTAACGAACGACCTTCTGGAACGGATTGAGTTCGTTAAACGAGGGGTCACTGTAATTTAAATCTTAACCTGAATGGGTGAAAAGGCTAGTAAACATTTAGCTTACAGCAAAACCTGAATGGGTGAAAAGGCTAGTAAACATTTAGCTTACAGCAAAACAATCTGTATGTTCAGTATGGTAGTATACAGTATATCTGCCACCAAGCCTTACAAGATCCCCAAGCAATGGCAGCTCTTACAGGGGGCGTTAGCAGTGAGAAATTTCTCAATTCACTTACGAACCCCTTTGGCAATAAAACAAAATATATGTATTAACACTTAGCATTATGCCAGTCTATCAACAATACACCTGGCAAACTCACTCACACTGACTGAATATGTATGCCTCAGCGATATACTCCTGTACTGTACCTGTATTATTTTAATCAATAATGGAAGAATTTCTTAATTTTCTAAGATATCTAAATTATTGTCAGTTCATAAATTAGGTATAAGCATACTGAAGTTAGAATTTTGTAGTTAAAAATAGAAAAATGCAGTCTTCATATAATTTAGCAAGTACACAAGTGGAGTATACTGTGCATATATCACACCAACAGGCTCTCCACAAACTTAGTAACATAAATGACTGAGAAATTGGAATGACAGTGTTAAACTTAAATTAATTTGTGGATTTGCATACATAAAATAATAAAGGTGTCTTTGATGAGATTCCGGTTACTAAAATTATATTAACTAAAAAAAAGAGGACCTAAAACTCCTAAAGTGACTTTGGTTTCTTATTTACTTACTTTAAGAGGAATTGCAATATTCCAAGGTTCACCACCCAGCTTGCAGTTTATTTGAATTGCTACCTTTGTTGCAACAGACATCAGGCGTTGTTTCTTTAATAATGTCCGGCTTAGAATGCACTGAAATCCAAAGAAATAATTACACATTATAGCTCTGAATTTATCTGTCTAAAGGTTTATGTAATTGTTTTAGTAAAAATAAGTTGAGCTAATTTGTACTCAGGACAGCATAAAATATCCCAAACTACAGTACATGGCACCTACAGTATAATTGTCCCAACTAACCCAAGCTTTTTCTTTGATATTGACATTAGAATGCCTCTCATTTTTCAACAAGAAGCACCAAATACTGTCAGTTACTCGTGTTAATTCACTGACCTGACTGGCGATGCCCATTTTAATGGAGAGGTGACGCTTCACAGCATTATATCGATCAGCACGGTTGTTTGATAGAAGTATCAACACAAGCTGCTTTCCTACACATTGATTGAACACACCGATATACTCATGAACACTATCACCTTGCAAACCAAACCTGGAAATGGAAAAATATTTCTTTTAAACTGTAAAGCACACACTTATTAACATAACTGCATGGATTGTGAGCTTAGTTAAGGAGAGACTTAACAAACACTGGTACCTTTTGGAGCCAGGGTACACCCACTAAAAAATTATTCGGCACCCGTGTCATATTGTACCATGCCATAAGTGAGTCGAATAATTTTTAGTGGGTGTACAAATACCTCGCCCGCTCCTCCTTGCGTCTCACACTGAGCAAGAGAGAGCAGGCAGACCCATATCACTTGCTACCCAGTGAACACCTCACTTAAGTGTTCTCCTATAAGTGCACAAAGACAGAGAAGGTACAATATACTCTCAACTGAACTCAGTACCTGTGAAACTATATTTTTCTACAATAAAGAAAAACCAGCCACTTACTAGTTCCAGAACTAATACAAGGCATATATATATTTGTGTGTGATATAAATCTATAAAAAAAGGACCAACACAGCGAGATAAGGTCCAAGGATGTTCGCTAGATACTAAATCGCGATACGTAGATATATACATGTAATCAATGGGGAAAATAGGGTTAGGTTCTGGAGGCCAATAAAGGTGACTAAACTTGACATAAACTGGTACAGTCTAAAGTTAGCAAAATATAAATTGCATTGCTGTAATCCTTGCAAGACAGCAGATAATCTATAGACATATTTTGCACGAGACAAAAATTTTAGTCCTTTGTACTAAAATGTACAAAATTTTTACTACATTTTTTATGTCTATTGCAAACTATAGCATGTTTATATTCAAATTAATCACTATCTTACAAGAATTCCAGCAATGTTAAATATTTCCTATTATGTCATTTCATTGAAATTTAATAAGAGAAAAACATCAACTCCCCCTATACAGGTATGACAGATAAATAAATACCACTAGGTAATGGTTGTTTGCGCTCCTGCCCAGCTGTCATAAAAAATCAACTCCACTCCGACTTCCGGTAAGGGTGACTGTGGTATTAAGCTTAAAGTTTTTATCTTATAAAATGACACAGACTAAAGTTAGCAGAAAATAAATCCATTGCTGGAATCCTTGCAAGACAGCGAATAATGTGAATATAGACATCATATATTCTGCAAAAGAGATAAAATTTTTAGTCTTTTAGAGTACAGAACATTTACGTACTGTACAGTTTTTCAACTCGTATTTTTGGGGCAATTTAAGGGATTTTTAGGAGGGTTTTTGACTTCATACAGTTTTTGGCTTTGTGAGGTCCCAGGAACATAATCCCATGTAAGTTGTGAGTCTACTACAAATAAATTTATCGCTATATATGCAGCATAGGAAAATTTCTATAATTTTGGTAGCCGCGATATAAAATAATCGTTGTATAAAGTCGCTATATACCCCGACACTACTGTACTGTATTTCGGTACCAAAAAATTAAATAGATTATGATGGAAATGCATCATTTAGCTACACAAAACATTAAATTGAATTAATATTTAAATAATGATTGAAAGTTTTTGATAAATGAAGGAGATTTACTGATAATTAAGCCACAAATCATAACTTATGTATTATTCATAATGATCTACATAACTTACATAGCTGGATTCTTAATCATCATTCCCATGGGTGCTCCAACACGTTGTACACTGGACAACAACTCACGTGCATCAGTAGCGAACTTCAGTGGGAAAACAACTGCCCAATTGTCAAGTCCAACAGGTAAATTGAACTTCAGACCTGAAAATTTAAACAACTTACTACTTCTTAATCTCTCATATATACTGTATTTAATGTTTCTGTCTGTGTGTGTGTACGCATTTGTCAACCCATCACCCCCCTCCCAGACACATGATCTCCACATATTTGATAAAACTTAATAAGTAATACAGTAGTACCCCTTAACGCGGTCAACTGAACCCACAGGGTAACGTGTTAAGTGAAAACTGCGTTAAGTGAACAACAGAACATATGGGATTAATTCCAATAGAGACTGGCCGGACCCCCAAACTCTACTTTTTCGGACACAATACCTATGTTCTAGTAAAAATAACATCTTAATTTTATGATGGTACATGCACACAATTAATACTTAAGAGAAATAGAGAAATAGAGTCGCCAAGTTAATGTCCATTCAAACAATGGACTCAACTCCCCCCTCTTCTCACACTACACTCGCTGGCTCTTCCCTCTCTGAGAAATTTTGGGGGGAAAACCACTGGATTTTAATAAATAATACCTCAAACTAAAGTTAGGATAATATAATTGACATTGCTGGATTCCTTGTAAGACCAGGAATATTTTGAATATAAATGTCATATATTTTGCACAAAAGATAACATATTTACTCAGAGTAAACATTATATCTAAAATTCGTATGTCTAATGCAAAATCTATGATGTTTATATTCAAAAGGATCATCAAATTGTAAGAATTCCAGCAATGTAAATTATATTCTGGCTGGGTAATTTGTATGAATTTTATGAGCTAAAACAAATATCTTTAGTTAATAATAAAAAAAATATTCTTCACGACACTATCTGTCAATCAAAGTACCCCACCTTGCCTCCCCCCCTCTTCCAACCGCGCCAGATGGTCAGTCCTTCCCAACCCTCCCCCCCACCTACCATCAACCCTCCCTACAAGAGAAATGTAGGGTGAAAAAACTAAATTTTAACATTTAGTAATAAATAATACAGTAAAAGTCCAAAAATCCGGATGCCAAAAATCCGGACCACCTGAGAATCCGGACTTTTGGAAAACTAATTATTTTTTTTTTAGCGGGCTTTTGTGTGTGCGCATGCGTGAGCGCCACAGCTGCACAGCGACAACAAGCGACCACGTGGTCTCCACTTTAAAACGAGCAATCAAACTGTGAC